TGAATGACTGAATGTAGTGTGAAGCGCTTTGGGGTCCTTAGGGACTAGAAAAGCGCTATACAAATGCAGGCCATTCACCTGTTCATCAAGTTCATCCAGGAGGTCTTCCACCTCCTCACCAAGAGCTCCCTTCTTAGACCGGTACAGTTTCAGCAGGCCAGGCACAAATTTGTCCCCAGGATGTCTTTGCTTGTGATTCGATGAAGTTTTTCCAGATATCTAAACAAGACGTTCACCAAAATATTGTCATTTATTCAGCACAAAAAATTCCTGGGTAGCTGTCTTGGACAGTCTGCGCCATGTTATATGCCTGATTGTGTTATCAACAGCAAAACCTACTTCAAAAATCTCTCATGAATACACATTTTGCACAGGAATAGAAACACCCTCCACAAAACCCCTCTCTACACACGACTGTCAGCTTGTTGCCACGCTCTGTGCTGCTCTTTGTGCCCTGAGTGAAGCTAACTCAAACCTGTTTGTGTCTGTGTGGATTTATTTCACATTTCCATAACAGGACATGCTTTAATCATCATCATATCTCATTAACTTTGGCACAAAGAGCTGTGCGTTTGCATTTTCAAATCTAGACATTATGTTTTGAACTTTTTACAAATGATTTCCACCAATGAAGACTCTGAGCACGCCACAAACACATTTAATGAACAGCATGTGTAATTCCTCATTTATTCTAGACCTACATCAAGCAATAAAATATTATAAAGCCGTGTGTTAGTATTCATTCACGTCAGACTTTTTGGTGTTGAGTATATGAATGATCAGTACTAGAATGGATATGATTCATTATGGATAAAAACCTGAATGAGGCCTTTTCTTTTCATTTTCTCTCCTTTATTATTTATAACACGTTGTTTATGTGTTTATGGCTCTGTTTGGTACATTTAAATAGGTTTTAGAAAGAAAGAAGGACGTTTATTCCAGGCGGAACAAAGTATTTGCACATCCTCCTCCTGCCGGAACTTCAGAGCGGGACACGAAGCGGAAGAAATCATTTTAAAAAGCCGGCAGTTTGGTTGTTCCAGCGTGAACTTTTGAAGGCTCGCTTTGTGCTGTGTGTGAGCCGAGGCAGTAACGATGCCTCCAGTTCAGTATCTGAGAGAGTTTATCAACGAGCGACTAACTGCTGCTGCTGAACAAATATTCTTGGAGTTTGAAAAAACGATCGTCCAGTACGAGGAAAAGATCGACCGTCAGCGCAGACTGCTGGATATCACCTGGAAACCCCAAATCAAGCTGCACAGGACAGGTGAGTGTCCCTCTGAGGGAGCATCCTGATCACAGCTCTGCGGGACGTTTCTGATTGTGAGGACTTTTTGGAAATGTGAGCTAACAAAGAGCAAACAGAGGACAGGACTGCGCTGCGCTCCATTCAAACAACAGGCGCTGAAATCAGCCTGGATTTGAGCTTTTCTCTGACCTGGATCCATCACTCAATCCTGTGAATTGTTTGAAAATCTTTTTGTTTGGCGGTGAAACGTGTGTTTGATGGTGCGTTCAGGTGCACCTCATAAACTCAGTAATCTAGCCTGAAAAGGTTTTTCCTTGATTTCCTTTCTTCTTCTGCAGAGCTGTAAAGAGTTCAGTGTTAATGTCATAACAATAAGGCTTTTTTTATTTCTCCATCAGTGACGTCAAAGTGGTCGCCCGGGCCCGTTGTGGTGATTGTCACAGTTCATAAAAGCTAAAGTCACAGACAGCACGTGCACGGTTCCTGTGGTCACATTTCCACACGTCTTGTCTTTATCTGAATAAATGCAGATCTGAGATCAGTGACTTACAGCTGATTGGACGGCTTTACTCTCACACACATGGGCGACGCAGTCATGCTGTAAAGTCCTGTTAATGTTTCTGTGGTTGTGACGTCTTTCTTCTGTCTCTCCAGACGTCCCACAGCAGCAGGTCTGTGAGGAGGAGGAGGTTCTCCCTGAGCAGCAGCTCTGGAACCAGGAAAGAAGCTTCAATGTGGACCAGGAGGAACCAGAACCTCCACAGATTAAAGAGGAACAGGAGGAACTGTGCAGCAGTCAGGAGGGAGAGCAGCTGGGACTGAAGGAGGAGCCTGAAGTTCGTAATGATCCTGTGCAGTACGAGGAAGAGATCGACCGTCAGCGCAGACTGCTAGATATCACCTGGAAACCAGAAATAAAGCTGCACAGGACAGGTGAGTGTCACTCTGAGGGAGGATCCTGATCACAGCTCTGTGGTACGTTTACTTTGAGGCTGCGGGGATGTTTCTGGAGGACAGAAGGTGAATGTGTCTCTGTTTAAACAAGCATTCAGCTCTAAACTCACCCGAGGACACTGCACTGAGGCAGGGTTGGGGTTTTCCTCTCACACTTTCAATTCAATTTTATTTATATAGCACCAAATCACAACAACAGACTCCTCAAGGCGCTTTATATTGTACAGTAGATGCAGAGAAAAACCCAACAATCATATGACCCCCTATGAGCAGCACTTTGGTGACAGTGGGAAGGAAAAACTCCCTTTTAACAGGAAGAAACCTCCAGCAGAACCAGGCTCAGGGAGGGGCGGGGCCATCTGCTGTGATTGGTTGGAGTG